GCGCTACGGACCCGCTTAAACCATGTCCTCAAACAGAAAAAAGGAAAAAAATGACGTAACCAAACGGGCAGCAAAATAAAGCTACACGCAAAGCCCTAACCGGGCAACGGGCAGTCCGTAACGCGTCTTTCTCACTACTACTAAGACACTAACGCCGTTTTACACACACACCCTCATTCTCCGGACCAAGTCGCCGAAAAAGCGTAGAAAAAATAGAAAAAAAATCCAATCATTCCATCACCGAACCTCAGCCTCGGAACCCCAGGTTCGGGCTCTGGAAAATGCCAAGCCAAGCCATGGAAAAATATTGCAAGGAAGAGAGATAGAGAGAGAAAGATAGAAAGCTTAAAAATAAAAAAGAAGACAGAGAAACAGGGAGTTTGTTTTTTAGAGCGAGAAAGTGAAAAAGCACGGAGGTTTGGTGGGAGATGGGGCAGATCGTCAAGAGGAAGAAGAAAGGGAGGCCATCGAAGGCGGATCTGGCACGTCGAGGAGTTTCGCCGGCGACCGGGCCGGAATCAGAGCCCCGGCGAAGTCTCCGGCGACGGAATGTGCGGTACAACATTGACTACGATGATTACCTGGACGAGGACTTCGAGGAGGATGAGGAAGAGGAAGAGAGGGGAAGAGAAAAGAAGCTGAAGCTTGTAGTCAAGCTCAATCAGAGTGGTGAAGTAGCCACTGCGGAGGCAACGTTGCAGAGCCGAGGCAGAGAAGCCGCGCGTGCTAGGGACGTGGGTAAAGACGAGGAAGGAGAGGAAGAAGAAGAGGACGAGGAAGAAGAGTTTGAGAGGAAGAAAGTGAAGAAGAGGAGAATCAACGGCGGTGATGAGGAAGATGATGATGTTGATGATGAAGATGACGATGGTCGTGGTGCGGAGGTATGTACTGAATCAATGTACGGACTTGCTGAGGGGAGATTACAGAGAACAGCTCCGGGAAATTACTGGGAATTTATTAAAGTTGTTGCCTTTCTGGAACAGGGTTGAGGGTTATAGAAGAGTAGAACAGGGTCTCTCTCTATCTAGGTTTTTTTGTTGTGGGTTTGTGTTGTATGGTATGGGGAGGTTTTTGAGAGAAAATAACGGCCGGGTCAACTGTCATAAACTATAACAGCAACAGAATCTGAGCACGCTCCCACCTTTCTCTCTCTTATCCAACTCTCTCACTCACTCTCACTCTCTCTCACTCTCCCTCTCTCTCTCTCCATATGTGTCTTTTACACACATTCTCTCTGTACCTACATGATGTCTGCTTTAGTTCTCTCTGTTGCCTGTCACTGTCTCATGTCTTCTCTATGTCTATTGCACACGCAGCTTTCTCGGTTGTGTTGTATGTATGCAATGTGTTGAGCTTCTGAGGGTTCAGACACTAAAGCTGTAATTTTTTTTTCCTATGTTTGTAACAGGGGAGAGGGAGGAAAGGGGAATCAAAAGGGAATGACTCGGTTCCAGGTTTGTTTTTTGGATTGATGGGTTGTGATTTGCGGTGGAGTTTGGGTTTAGAATGTGAAATTTGATATGGGGTTTGTTTCAATTCAATGTTGGGCCTTTTTAAAACAGGAACGCCGTCGGATCATCAAATCGGGGTTCCGTTGCCAGACAAAAAGACATTGGAGTTAATTCTCGACAAGCTTCAAAAGTGAGTCTCGGGCTCTTTGTTTGGGTTTTTGCGCTTCTCTCAACCAGTCTGTCTCTTAGTTGTTGCGTGGTTTTGGGTATGATTGTGACAGGAAAGACACGTATGGGGTGTATGCAGAGCCTGTTGATCCTGAGGAGGTATGTTGTATGTGGAATTTAATCCTGAAGTTTAAGCATGTTTTTGGTGGAGATTTTGGATTTTGACCCCAGCTCTCTTACTTTGTTTAATGGATTTTGTAGCTTCCAGACTATCATGATGTAATTGAGCATCCAATGGACTTTGCCACATTGAGGAAGAAGCTGGGAAATGGGTCCTATTCTACCTTGGAACAATTTGAGGTGTGTATTCATGCTATTTGTTATAGTTTATATTCAACTTGGAATCTGGAAGTTTTCTTTTTGGACAGTCTGAATTGTTTTGTTCATGTTGCCAGTTTGGTAGTTGAGGTTGTTGTTTAGTCCTGGAATGAAAGCATGACCTTTTTGTTGGGAACGAGTATTAGGCTTTGTTAGAGAGTCTGAAGTTTACTTGGTTTTCCAAGTCAATGAGAGATAGTGGTGTGTGTATCCTATATATGATGGTGTGACCACTTCCTCTTAACTGTTCTGTACAGCAACTTGGTTGAGGGAGTTTCAAATGGTAGAACTTTAGCTTTGAAGGAAGGCTAAAATGAAAACTTTGATTAAACTCGTTCAGGGCTGACAGTGCAATTCTTCTAGTACTAGTAGTAGGTTGAACTTGATTCACTTTTACATATGTCCATGATTAACTCCCTGCGGTTGTGCTAGGCATTCACTTCTGAGCAATTTCAGATTCTTTGAACTAGAATCCCTTTGGTAAAAAAATAAGGAGAATTATTTGGCATATATTTGCTTGTCAACTTTGTTTTTCTTACTGCAGAGTGACATCTTCCTAATATGCTCAAATGCAATGCAATACAATGCACCTGATACCATATATCATAAACAGGTATGTGGTTATCTGTTCTTTAGTTCATATAGCCTTGCTTATATTTTTTGGTTCCTTTGTCTAACCAAGCCAATTATTTGCAAAGGCACGTGCAATCCAAGAGTTGGCAACAAAAAAATTTCAAAAGTTAAGGATTAATGTAGAACGCTCTGAGAAAGACAGCAAGTCAGAACAAAAAACAAAAGCAAGTTTCTCATCAAAGAAGCAAATGAAGAAGCCTTTTGGCCGAACCACACAGGAACCTGTTGCTTCTGATTTCTCTTCAGGAGTCACTCTTGCTACTGCTGGAGATATGCAGAACGCTTCCATTACCATTCAACCTAATGGTTGTGACAAGCCTAGCAATACAGATATTTTTGTAGAGGGACACTCTTCCCTGCTTGATAATAATCTAGAGAAGGCAGAAGAACTATCTTCAGGTATGACATTTGAAGTGTTAAGACAAAGACAATTATTCCAGATTATGTGAGGTTGGATGCATGGGAATGTTCATGTTTATTTTTATATGACTTGATGTGGTATTTGGACTTATCTATATTTCTTTTAATTCCTAAGAGGCTTCTATTTGATGCAATTTTGTGTCTCTCTCTGATGTTTCTTCTTTGTTTTAGGGAAGGGTCTTTTACCTAAATTTGGGAGGAAGTCTGTTGTTCTTGATGAGAACCGTCGAGCAACATACAACATGTCCAATCAACCTGTAGTCAGATCGGACTCAATATTTACAACTTTTGAGGGTGAAATCAAGCAGCTGATTCCCGTATGTGAAAGAAAAATAGAAACAATTGCCTCTTTTTTTTTATGGCATGGCCACTGTGTTCACATTTTCCCTTTTTCTTTTCGGTAAATTAGGTTGGGCTTCAAACAGAATATTCTTATGCTAGGAGTCTGGCTCGCTTTGCTGCAACTCTTGGCCCTGTTGCATGGAAAGTTGCCTCCAGGAGGATTGAGCAAGCAGTGCCTGCAGGCTGTAAGTTTGGTCGTGGATGGGTTGGAGAGTATGAGCCACTGCCCACACCAGTATTAATGCTTGAGAATTGTCCACACAAAGAATATTCAATGTTTACAAGGTCACAGCATTCAGCTGATCTGCAGAAGGAAAATTTAACTCATAAGAGACCTGTTCCAGCTAAAGAGAATCCTGTTAAGGAGCCTGTTTCTGTAAGCAACTCATCTTCATTTCGTGTGTCGAGTGGGTCATCTAGTGAAGGAAAATCGTCTATATTTGCTTCTGGTGTATCAAAGCCTGGTAACCCTGTTAATGCTATTTATCAGCAGAAAAAGTCGTCTCCCAGGATATATGGTAAGCCTGAGAATAAGGTTTCAAAGCAAGTGGAGTTGAATTTGCCACCCCCAGCCAATCAAACTAATGCTAATGTTATTGCTAAGAAGCAGAGTTCAAATAAACCAGAAATTGCTTGTTCAAGAGAGACAGTAATGAGGAATATGGGTCCTGGCCAATCTATACCTTCAAAGCCAGTGGAAAATAAAGGAGTTGGTAATGACAATTTGCCTAATGGAAAAACTCCCAATCAAGTTGTTAGAGCAGCAAACTACTTTCCCCATGGACAGGAGCAGGGTCTTAGTGATCCCATTCAAGTGATGAGGATGTTAACTGAAAGGGCTCAAAAACAGCAGAATTCATCAAATCAACCCACAGCTGACACTCCACCTGCTATGCCATCAGTTCCATTTACAAAAAGAGATGACTCAAGCAGTGCTGCAGCAGCTGCTCATGGATGGATGTCCATAGGTGCGGGAGGATTTAAGCAAGTAACCGAAAGTTCCAGCACTCCCAAGGGCCAGATATCTGCAGATTCTTTGTATAATCCAGCTAGAGATCACCCCCAAATTCAGCTAGTTCGAGGGGAGTTTCCTATATCTATGGGGATGCAATTTCAATCCCAGTCTCAGTCTCCAAATAATAGTTTTCCCCTTCAGGCTTTTGCACCACAACCCCTTCGTCTTGTAGAAGCTCAGTTGCAAAACCGACCAATGGTTTTCCCACAAATAGTAGCAACTGACTTGTCTAGATTCCAGGTCCAGTCCCCATGGCGAGGTTTTAGCCCACAGACACAGCCAAGGCAGAAGCAGGAATCTCTTCCTCCTGACTTGAATATTGGTTTCCAATCTCCAGGGTCTCCTGCGAAACAGTCTTCAGGTGTTCACGTGGACTCCCAGCAGCCTGATCTGGCTCTGCAGCTGTGAGTATGAATTGGACTTCAAACAAAGTGCACAAACTGCAAACGTCTCCGAGGTAAACTCCAGTTCACATCTCAGGGAAACGAAAATTTTGGTTGCCTATACTCTGGAATGCTGAATGGCAATGATGCCATTTCATTCCACGCTACAGTTGCTGGTATGTTGATCCAACTCAATGTAGCAGTTTATTCCCCAGGTTGGATTACTTAAAAGGGACTGGATTCAGTCTTTGACTCTGGTTTTACCATAGTACAAGGATATTTTGCAGTCACATGAGAAGGGTTGTGCTCCAGGGGACCTGGGGGAGGAAGATAATTTTGAGTAGAGCTACTTATTTTCTGTCTCCATTCCTAACAAGGATTGCTGACTCAGCATGGCACGCATATGTAGAGCAAAGCTAAAATCTTTGAAAAGAGTTGAGCAGATCAATTGATTTTACAATTGTTGTCGATTTACTAGGTCCTTTGTTAGATAATAACATGTATGGTGCCGTGTACATCAGATACAGGTGGATGAGAAATTAGTTGCTTAGATTTCAGATGACTTTACGTCTCGACTGTTATTCTATTGTTACTTTCCCCCTTTCATTCAATACGTAGTAAGTAGTACTTTTGTGTATATGACGATTAGCCCTTAATTAACATAACATAGGTAAAACAAATTCTTACAAGAAAGAACTGGTTTGATATGAGAAAACACTAAATTGAGAACGACTCAGCTCCATGTTCTAGCAGAAGTGGCTGTTATTATTAACTGGGAAAACATGAAATTGGAAACAGTAATTTACATACCAAATACATGTGCCTTGTGGATCAAACAGGCAAGCTATCATCCATGACTAATTAATCACAAGGTGCTTGAAGTTCTTCTGATGGAAAGACGAGCAAAAGAGAGTCGGCCTCTGTGTTGCCACCTCTTCAACAATGTCTTCTCCCCAGCTTTCTTCGGATGTCTGAGAACGCAAACGTCTCCTTGGCACTCATAGCTTTTCGACTCTGAGAAACAGCTGAACCAGTTTGCAAACAGAGCCATGAAAAAATCTCCCTGCTCTGAAAATTAGTACGTACAGCGTGAAGATTAATGTTCTTTTTCTAAACAAAAACATATATATAGCGAGGCAGATGCCCAGATCAGGTCAATTTTGGCTGGCAAATGGGAATGAGACGAAAATTTTCCAAACCATGCAACTACCAAACGTGTTGGACCAATACATCTTGATTATCTTCTGGTTGGAATTGAGTCAATTTTGGGTGTTTATTCACCTGTATAATTATCTGAGTTCCTATTTTACTGTTCATTTTTTAATGTTACGTGCTGTCAGTTTTTTTAATAATTTAAGTTGTGTTATTGTCGAGATTGTACTATATTTTATTAATATTTTTTGTCTATTTTTATTAGATTTAATTTAATTTTTAATTCTTTAAATGTGAATTATATATAAAAATTTAATATATTATATAAATAATAATTAAATTTTTTTTCTTGAATAAGAGGACTTAACAATAACTTTATCTAGAAAAAAATTTCAATTATTTTTTTTATAAGTTGTTAAATTTTTATTTAAATTTTATATTTAAAAAATTAAAAAGTCAAATTAAATTTATTAAAAAAAACTAAATTTATAGGTGTGGGGTATATAATTAAGTTGATGACTTTTATTTCGCAATAAAATCTTGAATAATCAATCATACATTCTAAAGAGTTATTGTTTGAATAAGGTTGTGTTTGAGATTACTATAAATTATTGTAGTTGTGGGTTTTTTAATATTTTATTATGAAAAAAATTATATTATTATTTGATAATTATTTTTAAAAAAATTATACATTAATATAACTATAAATTATATAAAATATTAATTAAATTAATCTAACCATAATTAATTAATATTTTTATGAAGTGTTATGTAAAAAAATACGTTAGAAATATAACTCTAAATGTAACCTAAGTCATTTCGGTTAATAAGGGGTCATAAAATCAAAAAACAAAGTTTTTTTTTTCTCAATTTTGGTGTAGATGATTTATTTTTAATTAAATTTAAAAAAAATAATTTTAAAGTGGGCACAAATAGACTTAAAAATGTAAAAAAAAAAAAAAAAAGCTTTTGAACTTGCCTTGGTTCATTGATATCGATTTTTACTTTTTTTTTGGTGAACTAGGACAGGTAGCCATCGAACCCGATAGGAGGGGGAGAGCCGGAGATGAGGATGGAGGGAGGGGGCACAAACCCCAGTCTGTGACTGGGAGGAGTCTTTTTCACCTTTAAAGGAGGTTGGTCCCCTTGGCCGGTGTGCGCCTTTGTGCCTTCACTCTTAACTTTTTCTGTCTTCGATAAAAAATTGGTTAAATCTCAAATTTAGTTCTTAAACTATTATACGGACTTTCGATTTAGTTTTTAAATTAAAAAATCTTTGATTTGGTTCCTAAATTATTGTATAGAGTATAGACCCACGATTTAGTTCATACTATTTACCAATTTACTTTAAATTGGTCATTTTGTATAAAAATTAACTGAAATGTTTTGTTATTAACTTGATATGTGACCTTTAAGTTATTATTTTTTTTCGTTAAGTAACGGACACGTCAGCTGTTTTTTATACAGAAAGATCAACTTGGGGTAAATTGATAAATAGTATGGACTAAATTAGGAGTTTGTACAATAGTTTAGGGATCAAATCATGGATTTTTTAGTTTAGGGACTAAATTGAAATTTTATATAATAGTTCAGGGATCAATTTGGGAATTTAACCTAAGAAATTTGAGATGAACTTGGGCGGCATACCTTAGTGAGAGAAAAAAGGAAAAAAGGGCTTGGTGGCGTATGCCTGACCATGGAATCTTCAGTGTTGTTTAGTTATTTTGATACAACAAAAGACAAATACCAAAAAAGAAGAAAAAAAGATACATCAAAAGTCAAAACTGGTTTTAAAATGGCAACATTGCTCCCCTGAGAAAAATTTAAAACCACACGTTCTATTCAATAAAGAAATTAGGGTAATGGTACGGAATAATATTTTATAACTTTTATTTATAAGTTTTGTGACACTATTAAATTATAAATACGTGTAAGGTCACGTTTTTTAATAGAATAAAAAGTTAATAAAAAGTTAATAATTAAGTAACATATATAATTATATGAAAAATTGTTGTTTCTTAATAATTTTTTTAATAACTTACAACTTCAATGGCAAAGTATATATATATATATATTATATTTACAATTTTATTTTGCATTTACTTTTTTCCATACGTTTTACTTTATACTTTTTAGTATGTTGTTTAAGAATCTTATTTTGCAATATAATTTCATATTATAAAATCAAAATAGTTGAATGGTGAGACACTCTACCATTAAAGTGCTTGGTTTACACATACGAATTTAAGGTATACACTTAACTTTTTTGATATGGTTTTATTATCTTATCTCTTTTGTATTTAGCCACAGCATGTGAATCATTATGAATTTAAAAATAACATGTGTTACTAACTTACTATAAGAGTTCATTGTAAGAGTTAATTATGAAATAAGATTGTAGTCACCTTTTATCACATATTCATTAGCATTTATTCTGAAAATAGATGGTATGAATTTTGTTTTGGTGCAAAGATTGTATTTGTATGAAAATTAAAGGATATTGATATAAAAATAATCATTTTATATAATTTTTTGAATAAAATTTTTATATTTATTAAATAAATAAAATAAATAAATTATTTAAATAATACATAAATTTATACTAAAATGTAATATAAAAAAATTGAAACTGAATTATTTTTCAAAATTAAATTACCAATATGTGACATGGCCATGCCATTTTTTACCAAATTCCAATTTTAATTTCACCACAGTTAAAAAAAAAAAAATCCAGAGTGTAGTAAAAATAAAAAGGACTTAAAAAAGGGTCCACCATTGATTTCATCTCCATATATTCCCCACTCCTCCTCTTGGGTCCCCTTTGTGGGTCCCAAATCTTCAACACACATATCCCTCAGACCCTCCAATCCCCCCCTCCCCTTCCCCTCATCCCTGAACCAATTCCCCTCCTCCGTTCCTCTGTCTTTGTCTTGTCCCCCAAACCATTTCCACAGTTTTCTCAGGAACTTGGAATGCAAGACAATCACCTCAGATTGGAGCGTAGCGGAGCAAATGATTATTGTGCTTCCTTTGCTTGAGAAAGAGAAAGGGAAGATACGATGATCGGGAACAGCGGAGCAGGTGCGCAGCAGAACGAAGGTGGGTGTAATGGTTCGGATGGCGGAGTTGGAGGAGGGACCCAGTTGAAGAAAGGGCCATGGACGGCGGCGGAGGATGCGATATTGGCGGATTACGTGAGGAAACATGGGGAAGGGAACTGGAACGCCGTGCAGAAGAACACCGGGTTGGCGCGTTGCGGTAAGAGCTGCAGGCTCCGGTGGGCTAACCATTTGCGTCCCAACCTTAAGAAAGGCGCTTTCTCACCGGAGGAGGAAAGAATCATCGTCGAGCTCCACGCCAAGCTTGGCAACAAGTGGGCACGCATGGCCACTCAGGTTCGCCATTGTCATCCTTCAAAACTTTTTGTTCTACGTAAATTTCTGATTCTGGTTCTCCCTTTCATCTCTGTTTCCATTTTCTCTGCATTTTCTTTGGAATTTAACGATTTTAAAATTATGCATTTTATTCTGAATCAAAATTTTCTTAATTTAATCAAATGATTTTCATATTGATCTTATTAGTTTCTTCTGAATTTTTGTCGTTGTTGTTTTTCTACATTTAACTAAATTAAAATTCTGGAAAATTATTATTTTTAGTATTTTTGCTTAAAAATCTCATCTCAAGCAGATTTTTCCTGCTATGAAAACGGTACGTTTGTTTTTTAAATTGATTTTCTAAAAAATGGAGAAAACATTTTCTTAATTTAAAAGCTTGAATTCGAAATTTTTAATTGCTCTGTTTTATTATTTTTTGAAAAAAAATTTTAAACTTTTTTTTTTGGGGTAATTAATGCAGCTTCCGGGAAGAACTGATAACGAAATAAAAAATTTCTGGAACACCAGAGTGAAGCGGCGGCAGCGCCAAGGCCTCCCCCTTTATCCTCCGGACATTCAACCCCTCAACCACCACCCGTTGTCGTCGCCACCGGAGAACCAACATTTTACCCATTACCAAACACATTCGGGGCCCGCCACACCCATCTCCTCCGCCCCGACTACACCCACGGCTTTCTCCTTCCAAACAACGCCGACCCTTCACGTCCCCACCACCCCAACGCCGCCGTCTCTCCACAGCCCACACTGCACAACTCCGACCACTCTCAACAGCCCGCACCACACAACCACCCCTATGCTTCTCAGCCCAACTCCGCTGAATGCCTCTCCGCTTCCCTCCCCGCACACCCCTGTCTACCCAACTCTCCCTCTCTTCGATTCCTCCGCCTCGGCATCCAACCCTTCCACTTCCACCACTAATTCCAGCTTCTTCTCACCCAGAACCCCGCCTTTCCTCCAGACTCCTCCTCGATTCAAGCGGCTTCACCGTCAACTCGACTGCGAGAATAGCAACAACACTAGCTTTAATTTTAACCCTGGCAATACTACCGCCACCAGCGGCTCAACCACCTCCACCTTTGCCTTCCCCTTTTCGCCTTTGTTGAGAAGTTCTCCTTTTGGACATACCACTGTTGCCACTTCAATGCCCATCTCCGCACACTATCCTTCCTTTGCCTCGAAACCATTTTGTTTTGATCCATCTACATCATTAAGAACAGTTGGTTCCCATTTGGATTTGGGACAACTTGCCTCTATTTCCGACTATGTTTATCCGTTGAGAACGGAGCTCCCTTCAAGCCAATTTTTGTTTCAAGACAGTAATCCGGAGGTTACATTCAGTTATAGGGTAAACGATGGCAATGGTGGTGACATTAACAGCACTAACGAGTATCAGAATTTGGGCGAGTCCAGTGGTGGAAGCGGATTGTTAGAGGATTTGTTGGAGGAGGCTCAAGCAATGGCAGGCAGCAGCGATGGTTTTGGAAGGCAGACTTGCTTCAGCTCGCAAGAGGAGAAGCAAGTCCTGGATGGGTTCAGCCCTTGGGGAGATTCAAGCTCTGTGGGTAATCTGTTCACATTTTCTTAAAATGAAGGTGCATTGATTCATTAATTATATTAGCAATTCTTCATGTGTTCTCGTGAATTAGATACATACAATGATATTGCCTCAAATTAAATGCATGAAACTTTGAAACTTGAGCATAATCTAGCATTGAAATCATGAATCATACACTGCATACTAGCAAATGAATGGAATAAACTTATCAACAGGCAATATTTTTCCTTCTATAATTTAGTAACTCTTAACATCCTAGTCCTAGTATGGACATTGAGCCTTTTCATTGTCAACCTTTTTTTTTAGCATTTTTTCAGATATTAAGACTTTATTGCTAGAGTATAAATGTGGCTACCCTTGTTTCCATCCTTGTATCACTTTTCGATGATTTGCAGTCTACATCATCCATCCTTTTAATGCTGAGATCTTTTTTTGGGTTGATATCAACATTTCCTAAATAATGATCTTGGTAGGGAGTAGGGACAATCTTTTTTACATTGACAAAGAAATCGAGGAGTCCTTGATGTGTAGTTGTTCTGATTTGAACTATTAAATAACCCTTTGCTTCATCTTAATGCTTCCTCCTTTTGATAATGGATAGTATTGAGACCAAAGGAAGAAACCGCAGACCAGATGCAAACTGCACATGAAGAGTTGTCACAGCAGGACAATGTTATCCCTTCTCCCATGCAAGTTCATGAGTGGTACACCGGGGATGGTAGGGAGGCCTCTAACGGGCAATCTTCCGTAGTGACAGACGATAATCTTGGGCTCGATATGCATCAATTAGCATCTCTATGTCCCATGGACACCACAGCTGACCATGGAAGGGTCCCTAGCTGGGACAACTTCCCTAGAATTCGCTGACATGCACAACTCATGTAAACAGAAAAGGTGGATGGGCTTTACATTTTGTTCTGTCTTTGCTGATATATATGATATTTTTTTGTATTTGGTTTGATTGTATATTCTGTAATAAAGATAATAAAATAAGAATTTTAATGGGAACACATTATCCTTGTCCAAAATTATTATAATTTTTCTCTTTTACAATCTTAAGAACGCACTCTCACATTAACGTAATGTATTTAAAGGAATTAATTTTTTTAAGTGGCTTGAATCCGAGATCTAACCTATATAGCGACATTCACTTACTAATGAATCCAACTGATAGTTTTCTATGATATCCTTGCTCCAAAATGCATCTTGAGGTACAACAAGAAGCAGAAGCCAACAAGAGCCATAGTGCAAGTACTGGGCCTGGGTGAATTAGCATATCTTCGACTTCACGGATGAGACTTGAGAGAGGATGTGGATATTAAGATTGAGCTTTACTTCGGCCCTATAAGAGAATCCGCTCTGCGGGTTGAAATTAAAAAAAATAAAATAGAATAAAATAATCGAAACGTCACTTCCACTCTCCTCTCTCCTCACCTTCCCGCTCTCATTTCCTTTCACCCTTTCGCTGTTCCTGCATTCGGCGTCGGTGGGAGGGCTGGACGGCACCGGTTGAGGCTCTAGTTACGGTCCAGCAGCGTCGATCCAACTTTGGGGCCAAGAAATTTGGAAAGCACTCTTTTTTCACGAAGCGTTTTTAGCCGGATCCGGCGCCGTCGCTCTTTGGATTGACGCTCCCATGGTGGCGAACGGTGCCTCGAGGACAGATCCGGCACTGTGACGAGTAGGATCGGTCTCCTTGACGTGCTTATCACTTTAGGCTCCGATTGACTCTTCCATGATGACTACCGTTGAACTGGAAAATAGATCCGGCGTCGTGCGAAATCTGATACAAATAGAGCACCGAAGTGGCGCTATGTTTCCTACTATTACACAGCAGCCGTCATTGTTCTACTGGCCAACCGTTGTTTCTACGAGGCAGTGGCCGTACCGCCGTACCTTGGATCCGCGGCATCCGTCCTTGTGAATTTTAAAGGGAGGGCATGCACTCAGAATTCAAACCACAATGAGGCGTTTTGGAGGTTCTGGCACCTAGGTAGAGTTCATACGGAGAGGTAATTCATTAATCTTTATATTTTTCTTTTATGCTTTCAAAGAGGCAAGATTCTATCTCTTTCACACATGTTTGGGAACTACTTTAGTTAAAAGACTATCATTCTCTATACTATGAGAAGAAATTGATGATTGCTTAGTGACTAAAGCATGAAAATGTATATTTAAGGTGTGTTTAACCATTGATATTTGTGGAATTATGGGTTTAAGTGTTATATTTTTCTACAAATAATTTTATAAATGCTTATTCTATTTAAATGCAAATTTCTTATGAGTGAAGATTTGATAATTAAATGGAGAGAATTAGAAGAAAAGAAGTTAAATGCAAAGAACCAGAAAGATGAGGGTCCAAGGATTAAATTTAGAAGTTTTAAAACTCAAGTGGGATTTTCTCCATTATGTAAGTTTGTGAAGTTGATGTGTTAATGAGGTGTTGGAACTGTTTTTAAGTTCCAACCCTTGGCCTATGGAAAATGATAGACAGTAGCATGAGGGGTTTCACACTCTGTGATTAGGATCCAATCCCTGGTTAGTTATGCACAAAAATAGACACATGCAGGGTTCTGCACCTTGACTTGAGATTTCAACCCTGTCTAACAAAGATTGTGCAGGAAGAAAGAAGAAAATAAAATTAATTCCACTGGGCTGCTATTTTAGTCAGGAGCCTTTAAAAGTAGGTTTAGTATCGAGAGAAGTTATTCTTAGGCACATATTTTCTTCTTTTCTAGTGCTAGAGAATTATGTTAAGGTAGGCTAGAGAGGATCTTAATTGAGGAGTTTAACTTGTTATTTTATTTTGATTCCTTTATAGTTTTTATTGTTTAATTTTATTTTTGAGAGATTATTAATTATTTTCAGATTTGAAAACTCTACAAAGTATCAACTGCTTACCATCCACAGACTAATGGGTAAGCTGAGCTAGCCAATAGAGAGTTAAAACAAATTTAGGAGAAAACGATAAACCCAAATTGTCAAGATTGGTCTTTACGCCTTTCAGATGCACTTTGGGCATATCGCACTGCCTATAAAACTATTCTTGAGATGTCTCCATACTGGATTGTATATGGAAAAGCATGTCATTTACTTGTGGAGCTTGAACATAAAGCTTATTGGGCTATTGGGCTACTAAAGCACTTAATTTTGTTTTGAATGTTGCAGGTACAAAGGAAGTTACAAATATCAGAGATAGAAGAGTTGAGGAACAATGCATATGATAACTCTAGGATCTACAAGACTAAATTGAAAGCAGCTCATGACAAGCAGATCCTAAGAAAGAACTTTGAGCCAAATCAAAAAGTGCATCTTTATGATTCTCATTTACATCTCCATCCAAGAAAGCTAAGATCTAGATGGACAGGTCCATTTGTGGTGAAAC